AACGTCAGTGTCTGACTGATATATAAGTTCAACAAATGACTGTTCAGCGATCAATAGTTCAAATCGATTATCTATACTTTTTACCTGATGCCCATCAAGTAAGTATTCTTTTTTTGTTTTCATTGTATTCTTTTGAGAAAATGTGTTTATTTCTGTATATAAAGTACTATACCATTTGAACCAGTCATGGTATGTTGCTTAGGACCCACTATTGGTATATCTCGTTACATCAGCCGTCTTCTTCAAAATATCTATGATCAAGCGACTCGTTCAACAACATTTTTCAAAGCTAGTAATGTTGTACATGCACTAAAAAACTATGCCACAGAAGTTCGTTTATAATCAAATACATTATTTGCTGCTGTACATGTCAATGATTTATGTACACTTATACCTCATGAGCAATTGACGGAACCATTACAGCATTTTCTCTATGATTATGTACCAGATAGACAAGTGCAAGGATTAACTGTTGATGCTATTATTGAGTTAATTCATTTTGTTTTACAAAATCAATACTTTATTTTCGATAACAAAATTTATCGACCAATTAAAGGTTGTGGTTCTGATCAACCGTTAAATCATCTATTAGCAAATATTTATATGTTCTATTGGCAACAAGATTTAGTTAAAACATTAGTTCATCAAAATGAAATATTTCACCGATATCTTAATGAAATGTTTTTTACTTGAAATAAATTAAAACGAGAACTTCAATCACTTCTTAAGAGAATGGTTCGTCAAAAAAATCCTCATTTATCTATAGCAATTTGAATTGGAAAAAATATCGTCTATCTCGATATTCAAATAAGTCATATCAATAGTCAACTTCGAACTATAATTAATCACGATAATGATATTGAACCACATGGATTATCTTTTATATCGGATCATCCACCTTTAATGTATTCAACATTAATTCAAGCATGTCTTATGTGTGCAGCATTAATTCGCTCCAAAGTATCTGATTTTCACAATGAACGCTTTGATGTTCAAATAGTATTTTTAAATAATGGCTATTCAATGAATTTTATAAAAGAACATGCTGAGCAATTGTTCTAAGATTTTCATATTTCCAATTGGAAATCAAATTTAAATCAAAATACCTATGATAAAATGCGTGAAGAAATTATCGAGTATGATCAACAACATCAAGAAATGAAAATAAAACAACGAGGAAAACAACAAAGAGAACAACTATGCTACATTACATCTGATTTAAATGAAGAAGAGGTATACGATTTTCAACAAAATATTAAAACCTTATGGGAAGACTATTTGAAAAATCAACCACAGCTCAATAATATAAACATTGAAGTCATTCATCGACCAAAATATCGACGGAACACAAAATGGCTGTCTGTAGTTATGAAATTCAGAGATTTTTTTGTTTCTTTTGTTATACATTACGTAGATGGGTTTTTTTTTGTAAACTTTATTAAAACTAGATATCCCATAATTGTTGACTCCTACTTTTTCGAGATTTAATGTTTCCTCTTTGCATTTTAGATATTTAGCGTTCCGTATAAATGAATTATATTGAAACAAACAAAACAATGACAATAACTACATCAATTTTAAAAACACCAAGTGAAGATGCTCAAGGTCACTAGCATGAATTACTTTCACCAACGCAAGTGTTGACTCGACAACAGCAAATACAGGAACCAGCACAACCACAGAAAGGCGAAGAGGTAAAACGCAAGAAAAAAAAGTCGCGGTGATCGAAAAGCACAACGTCGATGTGGACGACTTCATCAAAAAGGTTTAGATCCAGATTGACTCACCGATTTAATTCAGTCAAACGTGAGCCTTCAGAAAAACCAGAAACAAATGAAAGAAGATACTAATGATCATATACAGGTCAATGTACCAGTTGATCAAGTAATATCTACCTTTCTTATTAGTAAAAGAATCAATCAAACGTAAAAGAAATGAAATATCATCAAAACAATCATCAAATACAATTGCTAAGTCTTTAAGTCAACTATCTATTTCTCAACCATCACGAAAAAAAACAAAAGATGGCCAATAATGAAATTGAACAAATAACTACAAATGGAACATCAGACAAGAAACGTTCAAAATCTAAAAAAGAAATTAATCATAATAATGACTATTCTTATATATCTGATTATTTACAAGTAACCAATCGTATATTTAAACAAATGTTAATCAGTTCATTAGAAGGTGTTGATAAAATTGTTAAACGATTAAATACAAGTGAAAAAATTAACTATATTCGTCAATATGCTTGTTTAATACATCGTCTATTCTATGTACAATTACGAGAAAGTCAATGGAAGTATTATTATGATATTGGTATGCAAGAAAATATTTGGTTCAGCCTCGTATCAAAAAAATGGGCTGCTATGAATAGTATGCATCATACTTATGGTCGCTCAAAAACATTAATCGTACAAAGTCTAACAACTCTTCAACGACAACTTCAAGAAGCATCACAAGCATTACAAGAGTTTGGCAATCCACCATTACCTCAATGTCTATTTGAAATGAAGCCTTCATTAGATTTTACAACAATGTCAGCAATGGTTACAGTTGTTGTCGGACAAGGTGAACATAAATTAAAGCACCAATTTGAATATAATAAAAAAATGTTAAAATTAGACTCAACAGATCATCGTTTAGTACAATATGTTTATGATTTGAAACCTAATAAACAACAAATTCGTTCTATTCGTAATATATGAAAAGCAATTTATAATAAAAAAGCTTGTTAGCGCAGCTCCTTTGGAGCTGAAATGTGAAACTTTCGTATATCCTTCAAACCTATTATGCTAATGCATTATTTGTAAACTAAAACATAGCTGTTTTCAAATAATTCCGAAAGCATTGAAATATTGTATAGAATCTGAAGCCGTTTGTGTGCGGTTGCTAGGTCTGTAATGTTCTCTTCCGTTGCTATGTGTCTGTAATGGGGTGGGGAGGGGGAGGAGGAATCAGAAAACTTTGACCTTAAAACTTACATCCACTATTTTCTTCGAAAATATACGTGAGTTCCACAAAGCAAATGGAAGAACACATTGAGATATTAAAATATCGCATCCATTCGAATTGTTTACCACCAGCATTCAATCTTCTTGATTATTCACTTAATAAAATTGATAAAATACTTAACCGATCGAAACAATTTTCTACTAATGATGATAACAAGCAAAAAACAATATTATCTGCTCATCGTTTCAAAAAAAATTGGCCGACTTAAATATGATATGCTTGAATTAAGTATAGCAGCTGGTAAAGAAAAAGGACGCTATTGAAATAAAATAGCGAAAAATGAAAAAAAGAAATTGGTAGCTATTACCGATAATTAAAGATAAACAATTCAGATTCAGATATATTCAAACAACTAATGGTAGTTATTGAAGCACGTGAAAAACATATGATCGAACGATCTGATTATATTACACAACAAAAATTGAAATCTTTTTTCGAACGAAGCTCCGGCATCACAGGACGATACAACGAACAACGATGGCGTCGGAGCAAATGAAAATTCAATATTCGAAACCATACGGATATGTTTCTTTGTTTATATTTTGCCAATACTATTGTAACATTATCGAATGAACAATTGCTTATTCCCATGTCAACACTAAACGCAGAAATTGTGCGTTTAAACGCGTTTTTCTTGTGAAACACGACTGGACTCAGCAAAAGGCAATAAAAACCACTTCTGCACGCGATTTTGCACAGACCGCATCTAAACACAGCTGGACTAAGACTTCAAGCACATCTCAACGTGTGTTGGTTTGAAATCACGTCTCCAGTGAAACATTTCTTGTGTCTAGACGCGGTTTTACTTGCAACCGCGCCTAGACGCATTCCATTACTTCGATCAATATACAAACGAAACGCGATTGTGAAACTCGTTTATAGGAAAAATATATGAAAGATTCGTTTTCTATTCACTAGAAAATATATATCACAGTTTCTTTTATAAAATTAATTTAGTTTGAAGTATATAGAGTTCTCAAAAAGTTTAGAGTTCTTTTTCTCAAGAAAGACAGAATGTATATATATCTTAATCCTTAAAACATTGGTACTCTAAAATTGAAAATAATGAAATTGTAGAAATAATATAACCAAGTTTTTTTTCCAAAACGAATAGTTTCCATAATTAGATATTTCTAAAATTATGTAGTTGGATTTATCTAATGCAAACTCTTTTTTTTTTGAGAAATAAGTATATTTTTATATACTGCACCTCATTGGCATATGTATCTATGAAAAAGTTTATAATAGACGATGCATATATAGATTCTGTTTCGTTCTACAACTAATGTGATCACATGTGGCTCAATGGTGCATGTACACTTGCTTTCTAATCGCTAGTTTACTTGGTCTAACTTCATTTCTATCATTTTAGAAACATTAAAATTTAAACTTTCCGTTGGCCTGTAGTTAGGTAAAGATCATGGCTAGACAATATTGATGGCGAATCAGATCAAACCTGAGACGGATTGTAATACATTTTATAAATTTGAAATAGAGGCATTTCTTTTATCGACAACGTATGGAAAAAATTATTGAACGAGCATACAATAGCCTCTATAATGAAAATGTTAAAAATCTTACCGATTACATGTTTTCAACGCGTGATACACGTGCTATTGAATATTTTGCTGTAATAAAAAATTTACTTCAACAGCTACATACGAAACCAATACTAAAAAAACTTGAAAGACATGCTCGATATATGTACAAGATGATAAAATCAATGCAACGACAATTATGCAAAGCTAATATTGCTGTCTGACAAACTGATAAAAGCAAATTATTTTTCTTTATTGATCCAC